TGAGTGACTAGAGACTCTGTCATGGAAATTGTAAAATGCTAAGTGTACATATAAGGCCCTGTTAAAGTCAATATCAAATACTTCTATTGATTGACCTGAGTTTGTAAATTTTTCTGCAAGATCCTTTGGTGTCATGGATTGAAATTTCAGGAATCTCATAAAGCATTTATGGGTTTTATGGGAGTTATGGCTTTTTAAAAGACTTTTAAACATAAGATTTAAGTTTTTTTAACTGATTCTGAATTATGAATAGTTGGAGGGATTATGAAAATGAAAATCATGTTGTCATTTACTCACTTTAATGCCATCCTAAACCTGCATGAGTTTTTCCTCTGAACACAAAATAAGACATTTTGAGGAAAAACATGTATGTTTTTTTCACTGGACAAAACATCTTCTTTGTGTGTTCTGCAGAAGAAAGAAAGTCATGCAGCTTTGTAACAGCACAAGGTTTAGTAAATTATTACAGAATTTTCCTTTTTGGGTGAACTATATCCCATTAAAATCATCATAACAAAGCAGGATCACGCTTCACGTGATTTTCTTGGTTTAAAGCAGTTTTACTCATTAATAATCCAGAACAGATTATTGGATTTCATCAGAAAACTGTGAGTAGTGAGTACCTGGGAACAAATGTCAAAATGCTTAATTACTTTGACGTTTTGACCTTTCCCCTCCCCCACGTAGCCCACCCACATCGCGACCACCCACGTTGTGTTGACCCCGTGACCCGTCAATGGCATCCATATGCGAAAATCGGCATGCGTGAAATTCCGACGTCAACCTTTGAGTTCCGGGGAGAACATATGATGTTTGTACAGATGTTTGTACGTGTCCGATGACAGGAGATAAATGAAGTCCTGAGGAATGTTTTTGTAGATTTGTATGGTCCGTTCCCACATCTGGGGTCCGCATGCTCTTGCTGTCTGTTATGCTCTCTCTGTATGGGCGATGTGAGAACGATATTGGTTTTAAGGTCAATAATAAGTAGACAATTCTAACAGATCATGAGAACAGATCACAATATGTGTGACCACACTTATAATCTGATGACAGTATAAAAAAAAAGAATTTTAAGTATGTGATATGACTAATAATGAAATTTAAAATAAATCAATAAATAAAATAAATTGATAAAAAAAAAAAAAAAATCCTCTTACATTTTTCTGAGAGAAAAAAGTTTTCCTCATGCAAGGATGATCATTGTCCGCAGGCTCAGGTGTCCGGTTTCATTTTTGGACACTCTCTCTCTCACTGTATGGGCGATGTGAGAAAGATATTGGTTTTGAGGTCAATAACAGAATAAGTAGGCAATTCTAACAGATCGTGAGAACATATCACAATATGTGTGTGCGCGTACATCTGATATGTTGACTGTTTAAAAATATTCTCAGCATTATAAAAATAATTTAAATAACACACCTAATAATTAATTGAAAATAACCCTGCTAATAATGAATTAAATCAATAAAAAAATTTGCTTAATTAAAAATGGTCTTACATTAGTGCTAAGAGGTAGATCTTTACACTATGTCAACCGTACCTCAAATGAGATGTTAGTTTAAGTTGGAAAAGCTCCTCCTCTCCTCTCTCTCTCTCTCTCTCTCTCTCTCTCTCTCTCTCTCACACACACACACACACACAGGTTTGTTTTTGTGAAAGTGGGGACATCCCATAGGCGTAATGGTTTTTATACTGTACAGACCGTATATTCTATTGCCCTACATCAACCCTACCCCTAAACCTACCCCTCACAGGAAACTTTGTGCTATTTCAGATTATCAATACACTCCATTCTGTGTGATTTATAAGCGTTTTGAAAAGTGGGGACATGGGGTAATGTCCTCATAAGTCACCTTCTCCTTGTAATACCTGTCATACCTTTGTCATTATACAAATTTATGTCCTCATTTGTCACAAAAACTCTCTCACACACACACACACACATTTGCTTAGCTATCTAAATGGGAACATTACACAGACTTCTATTGTTTTTTATCTACAGATAATTATACATTTTACAACCTAACACTAACCCATCGCAGAAAACTTTACATCTTACAAAATAAATAAATAATTGGTGTGATTTATAAGTAATTTTCTCATTTACACTAGTTTCACTCATCGCTAAAAATATAAAAACGTTGAACATTTGACCAGGATCGGGGAATTTTTTTTTTTTTAACAGGCCCAAGGATAAGGACTATTGGGGCCCCCGACATGTCCGGACATGTCATTGTCATGTTTATGGAGACTTTACATAGACAATTCAATTCATGTTTATTTGTATAGCTTTTCACAAACAAATAGTTGCAAAGCAGTTTCACAGAAAATTAAAGTTTCTACATCATATTTATATTTACATTATATTAATTAATTTGATACAGTATCATACCCTAAACCTACCATCACAGTAAACTTTCTACATTTTTTATATTTTCAGAAATATAATTTATAATTTTAAAAGTTGTTATGATTATGGACAAATTTCTCACAGGTCAATATTCATTTGGAGTATTACTATACATCTGGTTTGCAGGAACACTCCATAGACATAATGATTTTTTTTTTTTACTGTACACACTGTACACCTACATCACACAAAAAAATTCTGCATATGTTTGCATTTTTAATTAAATATTGTTTAAAGTGATCTGAATTATGAACTTACATATGAATTATGAATTTACATTGTAATATCAGTGTAATACCCATGTCATTATACAAATTTGTGTTCTGATAAATCATATAAACAAGCACACATATACATAAACATTTCAAGCTGAAAAGAGACTTATCTCTATTTTAAAGAATATGGAAATAAATAAATAAAATATATAATTATATATGACAGCATGTTGCTATCATGCTACTAAAGCAAATCATTCATTATTCATTTGAAACAAGTATTCATCATTTAAGTTTATTGAGCTTATAAATCACGTTTGGCATTACTCCTGTAATGGATATCAGAGACTCAAGTCCTTATGCCACTGGCAAGCTTGTCTCAGTCCAAACACAAAATGTATATCTATGATTTCATTTCCCTCTAATAAATATGCAGCACTGGATATTTTTCCCAAAATAATCTTCGCCTGTTCACATTATCCCATTATTAATAATGATCAAAACATGGATGTTAAATTCAGCATGCCCACACCAAGTCAAAATAAAAGTAGTAGGCGTGGCCAGTTTTACTATAAAGCAATATAAAATACAACAAGCTATTTTCATATTTACCAGAAATGGCTGTGTACACACTGATGTCATGACAGGGGTATGTTTTGTTCAATGTGTTTTGGTTCTGTTCTCCCTGTGCTTGTCACTTGACTCATTTTCTCACAGTATCTGATTATTGTTTCCATTCACCTGTCCTGTTAATTATCTCATTGGTATTTATTCTCCGTTTCGTTCTGTTCTTGGTCTGGTGTCGTATGTACTTTGTGGATGTTACCCCTCTTATTCAAACCTGTATTCTGTGGATTCCTTGTCTTCATGCAGTTAGTATAGCACTCATTCGTGACAACTGAATTAAGACTTGGACTTTAAAAAAGAACGTTGGTAACACTTTATTATAACTTTCATTAATAAATCATTAACAAACATTATATATTGCTTAATGGATCATTAGTTAATATATATTCAAACGTGAGACAATGTGCTTGTTCATGTTTGCTTATAAACTTATTAAACCTTAGATTCTGTTCAAACAAATCATTATTTCATGTAAGTTACAATGCTTACAAATGTCATTATACTTTCAATTCTATATGATCAAGCACTTATTGAAAATCGAATGATTTGAACAGATGTTATAAAATGATTAAAAGCTTGTGTTAATGCACAACACTTCTGCTGCTATTGATCCGGTGAGGTTAGGAACAGGTTTGGTGGCATGGGTAGGTTTAAAGGTTGGTTAAAGGGTCAACAGTGTACAGAGGTCAGTTTGATTATTATAAGGGAACACAGTTCAATCTGTTTATATTATATTGTTTGATAAAGTATTTTCTTAGTATTTTCCCATTTGTTTATGATTCAAGGAATATCCTGTTAAATGATATACTGAAGAGTAGTATACTAATGTGAGTTTTCAGGCAACAAAAACATTTTATTTGCACCAAAATTACAATCTGTTATGTCTTCAGGAAGCATTTAGCTAAACATAACCACCCACCCTTTACACAAACCTTGTTACATTAAAAGTCCAATGCCCATAAAGATACTAAATGATTAGTAATCGTTTATAAACATTTGCAAATTATGAATAGTTTCAACTTTAGATTGGCTACTGCGAAAACACGAACAAATGATTAATAAATTATTAGTAAAGATGTGTGATTAGGGTAAATGCAGGTCTTTCGGGACACTTTTTGCCATTGAGATGACTGCTCATAAAGGTATTAATGATTAGTAAACATTTATAAACATTTGCAAATGATGAATAGTTTCCACTTTAGACTGGGTACTGCAAAAACATGATTACATGTTTACTAATACTAGTACTAGTTTACTAATAATTAATAGATTATTTGTTAAGATGTGTAAATAGAGGTCTATACAACAAACAAAGACCAACAAATGAAGATCATATGAACTGAAAGTTTACTGACATTTGTAAGCATTTGCGTTTACATGAAATAATCATGTATTAAATTAGGTGATGTTTAGTAAGTTCATTAGAAAACATTAACAAGAACATTATCTCATATTTCTAGCTATGTGAATATATATTAACTAATGATCTGTTAAGCATTATATAATGTTTGGTCATGATTTATAAATGAAAGTTATTATAAAGTGTTACCAAAAAGTTTTAGTAAATGTGAGCTGATCTGGCTTTCAAATCACATGCATTTTGCACTTTTTTTAAAAGTAAAATTGGGTGCTAATCAGACAATAGGTTCACCAGTGTAAAAATGCATATGGCGCCTGCATTTGTTTTCCTTTGTTATTATAAAGTGTTACCAAAAAGTTTTAGCAAATGTGAGCTGATCTGGCTTTCAAATCACATGCATTTTGCACTTTTTTTAAAAGTAAAATTGGGTGCTAATCAGACAATAGGTTCACCAGTGTAAAAATGCATATGGCGCCTGCATTTGTTTTCCTTTCAGCCCAACACTCTTTCCTGCTGTCATTTCCTGGGGTGATTTTAGTGCATCTCACTGTGGAAACCAACATACATATTCTGTGTAAATCAACTGAATATATCAATTTAACAACAATTATTAAAGCACTGTATTTTATGTTATTTTTCATGGTGTGTCAATTTATTTGAAGAATGTTCAAAATGAGTCTCCAGTATTGTACCTCTGACAAATTCAGTTCCCGACTCAGCTCTCTATCCTGCAATAAATTCAATAAACATTTTAAAGCATTGAATTTTTACATCATATTTCATGGTGTGTTCATTTATTTTCCAGAGTAAATCAGTGTCCAGTACTTTACATAACTGTTCTCTGGCGACCTCCAACTCTTTCAGTCTCCTTACAAGCCTTGATTTCCGGATCGCTCTCTCCCGTGCTTCAATTATATTAATAATTATATTATAAAATTATATGCAGTTATATACAGTGGGGAAAAAAAGTATTTAGTCAGCCACCAATTGTGCAAGTTCTAGTAGCACAGCATAGTGACTTTATATTAATTCCATGATGACTTATTAAACATTATAAAACATATTAAACATAAACTTCATAAAAACAGAAAAATGTGACTTTAAAATAAATACATTAAGTGTTGCATAAATAAAGGGTTGCAAAAATTAATACACACTATATTGCATACGTATATTACATACACCCTATATTACATACATATATTAAAATGAGTAAACCCTATATTACATACATATATTACATATTACCAATGTGTAATATGCTAGTACTTAAAGAAAAAGAAAGAAACTAGAAGTGTGTATTGTGAGTTGGGAATGAAACTGATATGAACCTCAGACTGAAAATCACAACAACTCTTAATTTGTTCAGCAAACTCACAGTTAAACTTCCTTTAACTTGCAGCAGAATTTTTATTTGTATTTTGCAACTAAAGTTGCAAACTTTCCAGAAGATGCACTCTTATTGCAACACATTTTATCACTTTGATAAAAAAAATAAAAAAAAAATCTCTTACCTATTGTCTGTGCTCTGTGGAAAACCTTCATTTTCTCTTTCAATTCAAATCCAACATTTTCTGTCTCAGTCCTCTCTGCTGCAATTAAAACTAATTCAGTAATCAGCAATAATTAAAGCACTCTGTATACAGCATGTTTTATTATATTAAAGGGGACATAACACACACACACAGTTTCTGCCAATCTCATGTTAATCTTAAGTACCTATAGAGTAGTATTGCATCCTTCATATGTCAGAAGTGTCTTTAGTTTTATCAGATATATAAAAGACAGAAACAGATGTGCCACTTCTCTACGAAAACAGTCAAGCTCCTAGAGTCGTGCCGGGGGCGGAGCCAAAGAATCACGAGCATGCGCAGCTTTTGCATAGCGATCATCTGCAAGCTGTGACATCGACAAAAAAACAAAAAACAGACAATAACTTTGACTTAAATTAACTATGGCTAACGAATTAACATGGTGATGGGCTGCTCTTGCTCTCGTTCTGGTTGATGTGTGCGAGCGCTCTTCCGGGAGAAGTGCCAATATAAGGAATTCCGCCCTTCATGACGAGGGCCATATTCGAGAAAAGAAAAAAAACTTTCCAAAATTTATACAAAGCCTGAAGGAGTGTCTTTGGCACAGAAATTTGTGAAACGTCTTTGGCAAACGTTTTGTGAAACTTTGGCCATGTTTAGCATGAGAAACCAACTCTTTAACAGTGTAAATAACATACTCGGTTACTTACGTAACCTCAGTTCCCTGAGATACGGGAACGAGTACTGCGTCGCTAGACGCTTATGGGGAAAACTCCTTTTTCTCAGAGGACTGAAGCCTTTACAATCACGCAGTGTAACTGCACGGCCATTAGTTCGTGCATTAAATAAAAAACGAACCGATGGCTCGGCAGCGGAGCTGCACAAGCTTATGGCGACGAAGCCAGCCAAAGCCCGCCAGAATGGGCGAGGCCATCTGGCTATATAAGCGGGCATTTCGCCATAGGATCTCAGGTAAATTCGACTGAAGCGACGACACTCAGTCGTGCAGCATCATGGCATGGCAAGGAATGCAGTACTCATTCCCGTAACCGAGGTTATGTAAGTAACCGAGTACGTTCCCTTTTGATACTTCACTCGTACTGCGTCGCTAGACGCTTATGTGGAACCAATACAATCCCGCCGTGTCATGAAAGTGGAACGACTAACATGAACATAAACGGTCAGAGGGACCAATTATACACAGGGTGAGCCCTGCGGGAGGCAAGAGGCTAAACTCACTGAGGTCAGTCCAGCCTTGGATAATCGTTCCAACGGTTTTGTACAGCCTCAGCACTACTAAAAGGGCCAAGAGCATACCTGAAAAAACAGGCAATGCCTGAAGAAATAGACTGCCTTAAGCAGGCGCGTATCCATTTAAGCAGATAGAATCCGAGCCTGCAAGGCTGGAACTTCCTATGGACACACCCCTAGACCATGCCCAGGACGAGGCTACACCCCGAGTGGAATGGGCTCTGACTCCTATGGGCTCTGGAGACCCAGGGAGGAGTATGCTAGCGTGATAGCATCAACTAACCATTGAGAAATCCTTTGCTTTGTGACCAGGGACCCTTTGGTGTGGCCACCAAAGCATACAAAAATGCTTTTTTTTGAAAAAATTGCAATTTTTCCGACCGATTAAATGGGGCGGAACGCTTGATGTAAATTTTCAGCGCCCTAACCGGGCAGAGAAATTTAAACTCCTGGTCCTCCACAGAAGGAGGAAGCGCAGAGAGAGTATTAACCTGGGCTCTAAATGGAGTGTAGAGAACCTTAGGAACGTATCCATGTCTTGGTTAGGCCCAAACTCAAGACAGGCAGGACTTATTGTGAGAGCCTGCAAGTCACCTACTCGTTAAACCGATGCTAAAGCCAGTAGCAGAGCGGTTTTCAATGACATGGTTTTCAAGTTTGCAGTGGCTCAAAGGGGGAGCCGTTGAGGGCTCTCAGGACTGTGAGCAGTTCCCAGGCAGGGACCGGGGCGGATTGAGACTCCTGGATCCTCTCAGGAAATGGACAACTAAGTTGTTCCGGCCCACAGACTGCCCAGCTATAGAAGCATGGGAAGCTGCTATAGCTGCAACATAGACCTTGAGCGTGGAAGGGGAGCGGCCCTTGTCCAACAGCTCTTGAAGGTAGGACAATACCACCGATATGTCACATAAAACTGGGACTTCACCACGGGTTGTGCACCAGGCGGAAAAGACTGACCACTTAGACGGGGCTCTAGCCTGTGAGAGAGTATTCAGGATGCTCTCAGGGAGATCTACTGATTCCCATCGAGAGCCCAGAGGTGCAGAGCCCACAGCTCGGGCTGGGGGTGCCAAATCGTCCTGTTTGCTTGAAAGAGAAGGTTCTGCCTCTGGGAAATGGGCCATGGGGCTGCTGTCGGCAGCTGAGACAGCTCTGAAACCCAATGCTGGTTCCACCAGAAGGACTCTGTGTCTGGGTTCCCTGACTCGTCTGATTACCTGTGGGATCAGAACGATCGGGGGAAAAGCATACAGGAGGAGGTTGGGCCAATGGTGGGCCAACGCGTCCTTGCTCTTTGAAAAATAAGTTGGGCAATGAGAATTGTCTTTTGAGGCAAAGAGGTCGACCTCTGCCCTGCCAAAGATCTCCCAGATTCTCTGAACTGTTTGTGGGTGGATCATCCACTCCTCTTAGGGGACGTTGCTCCAAGATAGCATGTCTGCTCCTCGGTTCAATATGCCAGGCACATGTGCTGCCCTCAATGAACGCAGGTTGAGATGTGCCCACTCCAAGAGGCATTTTGTCATCTCGAAAAGGCATATCGAGGTGAGCCCGCCCTGGCGATTTATATAGGACACCACTGTCATGCTGTCTGAGCAGACTAGCACGTGGTGTCCCTTCAGGTCTGGTAAGAAGGTCTGAAGGGCTCGGCATACTGCCATCATCTCGAGGCAGTTGATGTGTAGCCGGACTTCTGCATCTGACCAGGAGCTGAAGGTCGGTCTGCCTTTGCACAGAGCTCCCCAACCCGTGTTGGATGCATCTGTCGAGACTTCTGTGAATCAAGCCCATAGTCACGCCCTGCTTGAACCATTGTGGGTCATTCCAAGGGGCCAGAGCTGTTACACAGGCCTGGCTCACCCTGACAGGAATGCGTCCGTGATGCCACGCATGGGGCAGAATTTGAGGTTTCCGCCAGTACTGATGGGGTCTCATGTGGAGCAGGCCCAGCTGTGGTACCTGCGATGCAGAGGCCATGAGGCCCAGCATCTTTTGAAATGACTTGAGAGGGCTAGAGGCTCCAATTTTGAAAGACGCTGCGAGCTGTTGTATGGCCAGTGCACATTCTGGTGCGACTACCACCCTCATGTGGACTGAGTCGAAAACTGCTTCCAGGAACGAAGTTCGTTGGCTGGGAGACAGAGAGCTCTTGGCAAAATTGACCCTGAGTCCCAGGCACTTTAAGTGGAGGAGGGATCTGTGGGATATTAGCTCGGCCTCTGACTGGGCTAAGTTATGCCAATCATCGAGGTAATTCAGAATGCGGACTCCCATCTGCCTCAGAGGGGAGAGGGCCACGTCCATGCACTTTGTAAAATTGCGGGGAGCCAGGGAGGCAGGACCGTGTACTGATACGCCACTCCCTCGAAGTCTCCGCATTGATAGAGAAGGCCATCCAACACGTTCATACAGTTCACAATGGTGAGTGAGAACTTTAAAACCAGAGATGAACCTCAGAGCTCCATGGTATACAGTGTCCAGTGCATGTAAACTTTGAGACGAAGCATGCATGTATAAAACACCACCATAGTCAAGTATAGACATAAAAGTGTCAGCAACCAGCCTCTTTCTAGATTCGAACGAAAGGCAGGATTTGATTCTAAAATAATTTAAAATCCTAATTTAAGTTTTAATCTTTTTGCTAGCTGATGAATATGAAAGGTAAAAGAAAGAGATTCATCTATTAAAATACCAAGATATATGTATTTAGAGACACATTCAATCTTCGTTCCCTGGGAAGTGAGGATTGAAGGCAGATTTGATTTGGATTTCAAATTTGAAAAAAGCATGACTTTTGTTTTTTTAGCATTTAAAACTAGTTTTAAATCATAAAGATTCTGTTGGAGCGTCAATTAATATTTTAATTGATCACTGACAAGGGACTCTAAAACCTTGACCAAAACAGACAATTTTGAGATCGGTCTGTAGTTATTTAAGATAGAAGGGTCGCCACCTTTTAACAGGGGAACCACAAAGGCTGATTTCCAGATGGAAGGAATGACATTTGTGTTCAAGCACAGATTAAAAATATTAGTTAAAGGCACTGCAATAAAATTTGCTGCTAGCTTTAAAAAATAAGGATCCAATTTATCAGGGCCTGCAGATTTTGTCATGTCCAAATGCTTGAGGGCTTTATTTATGTCTGAAGCTATAATAGGACTAAAACTAAAAAACTGACTAGAAGGATCCAAACCAACAATCTCCACTGTAGAGGAACACCCATATTGAGTATTAAGTGACTCAAATAAAAATCCTGAGGCTATGAAATGTTCATTGAAACAGTCAAGTATTTTGGTCTTGTCCGTGAGTTTTTGAGAGTCTATCATATTGCTTGAAGGAAATTCCTGGCCTTTACTGTTTTCTGATAACGATTTGATAGTTTTCCAAAATTTTGATGGGTTATTTAGGTTATGAGTAGTTTGAGAAAGAAAATGGTCAGCTTTGGCTTTTCTA